CTCATTTTTGACATTATGAGGCAGTTTGTGGCCTTGTTGTCCCTCAATTCCAATTTGGCAGCCAGACACCATTTTGAAATTAGGCATGATTTACTGTTTTGAAATTGTTGTTTTCCTAAAGAATGTAGGAATGTTGTGACTTTTTATTTTTGGGTGCTGAAGGCATTTTTGGTACATGAAACATAGAATGTGAGTAGAAACTATTATAAGCTTCCAGCGTCAATATGGGCCTAGTTGTCACAAAGACTTGTATATGTCTAAGCTAAACAATGCATCTTTGATGCTATGAGGACAATTGGTAGCCATTCTGTTGATCTAAGCTAAATTGTCCCTATTTTGAAAATTTGGCATAATTTACCATATTTGAATAGTTGGACCTGCAACCTAATAGTTGCTTCTATTTTTAAGTCACCGATGAAACTTGTGGTGTTGTTTTGATGACAGAAAATAATCAAAAGATCATAAAGGGTTTCTAAAGTGTATTCCAAGATGAATTTGGTTGGGTGGGCTAAGAAACAGCTCTCTCTCTCTCTCTCTCTCTCTGATTTTAGGTGGAATTAACTTTCTTATTGTACCACCAGCGTGAATTTGACATTTGACTTACTTTTCACCATGAACTGCAGTTTGCCAATTTTCTGGCCTGCATATTTCCAAAAATGGCTGAGATACATCCATAGTTACAGTTCATAGGAAGTCATATATTGAAAATCTTAACATGCCCATGAATTTGACATATGACCTACTTTTCCTCATAAAATGCACTTTGCATAGTTACCAGACCATATTTCTCCACAATTAAAATGGATACATCCATAGCTACCATTTAACGTGAATAGAATTAATCTCGCTGGTGGGACAATACCTGGTGGTGGTAGCACCACTCTGATCCTCCAGTTTTATTATATTTTTGTTATACAATATTGTTGTTGATAGATACATTCCTCCTCGACTGCAGAGTGGCATGTGGAATAGCAGTTCCCCTGATTGTAAAAATCTGCTGTGATACTGAAGCTGTGGCCATGGTTAGTTATTATTGTTATATTTATTTAAAAATCAGTTTCTTGTGAGTCTTTTATTCAGTTCAGTTCTGTGCTTAAGTAATCATGTCTGTGCATAGCTTATAGCTATATAACCTTTATAGCTCTTCTGAAATATTTTAAACAGGGTAATGATATTATTTAGAAACATCAATGGACCTTAACCAATTACAACCTTATCTTAAATTTCAGGTGATCAATCTAATATCCCCAAATGTCAAAAGTGACAAACTGATTGAAAATCCGAGTGGAGCTTTGCTGAAAGGGGGCACTGAATGGTTGGTTGCCAGGTTTTCAGATGCACTGAACAGGGACACTCTTCCCCTGATCTCATACGCATGTTTATGTCATGGGGTTCTGGCTGTACTGACTGAAGATGAGCTTTTGACTCTATTGGGTGATGAAAAATGTCTTTTAGTGGATGTTTTGTTTGCAGAACTGGAGACCTTTTGCAACAGGTGCACACTATGATTATTACATTTTAAAGTCTGTGTTAATCACTCTGTAAATAAGTAACTGGCACCGTAAAGTTAAATATATATGTATTTACACATTATAGTTTAAAGGACAATAGACACATAAAAATCCATTTCTCGAATTTTGAAGATTCAGCACTCAATCTATACACTAGAGGTATGTTTTAATCGATCCCCGCCATTTAAAAATTTTAAAAACAATCTATTAGTAGAAAAAAAGGCGTTTTAGTAAACCTCACTTTAATATGCATAAATGAAGCAACAGATCTGGGTCACGTGGTACTGTGACGACAATGAGGATAAAGGTCTATGAGACTTAACTGAGCTGCATGGTGCATACAGACAGAATAGTTTAGGACAGTTGTGTTGAACGGAGTTGAGCAATTTTCGTTATGCCTCAGTGTGTTGCCGTGGGATTCACCAAAATTGCAGCACTCCTTGACAATCTTTCTTTGTCTGTGACGGTCTTCCGTGACTTACTTACTAACTTCGGTGACAATAGTTGCGATGCTCCAGGTCTCGACACATCAGGTGTTTTAGATCATATCAAAAGCTGATAGTCTTTTAGATTAACTGTCATCAGTTGGCAAGCTTACTAATTGCTGATGCATTTTAAATGCATTGTAGTTGACCAAGAGCTCGTTAATAATAAAACCTGTTAATTATGCACCGCTGCAATTACCAAGCCAGGTAATAACAGGTATCAAACTTGTCATGGTGGGCTTTCATATTTTTCAATATATCTCATTTATTTCATGGGGTTATTTTATTGGTATTTGTAAATGACGTTAAATATCAATATTTAAACAATTAAGTTCAAACATGGTCGCGAACATTAATAAAAGAAATTGGTCTCAGGGTATCTTGAAACATGCGTATGCCCAGGCATTACTTCCGTGGAAGAAAACGTGTTGAGGAAAAACAGGAAAAAGAGTGTTATATTAAAGAAAAAATGGGAACTGCTATAATAAAATGGTTCGTAATCCTAATTCGTTTATGCTTTGAGGATTTGTTTCTGAAGGTTATTTCATCTGAAATATTAAATAATTTAAAAGATTTATCATTTTATAACTTGAAACACAAGTTCTGCATCTGTACGCAAAACTTTTTGAAAATTTGTAAGCTTTGTCAAACCCAAAAACATGTAGCAGATCAAGGTAAAAGAGCATTGTTTGCTACTAGTAGCATGGAAGAAATCATTAATTTAATGTGTTTACTAAATGTGCAGTTTTACGTATGTTAGTATATTTTAAATTATGCATGGAGATTTAACCTGGTAAGGGATGTAAGAAAGCCACAAACGGATTTTTAAAAAAGAATGTTGGGTGTAAAAAAAAAGAGCACTACTGATAACTTAGTTCATTGTATATAACTTAGTATATTATGAAAAGCGGGAGATACCCAATTCTTTTAAATATGAAGCTACAATTTTTTTAATATTGATTTAAATCCCCTCTTAGAAAAATTGTATTATAACATCGTGCTATAAAGATCTACTCAAGAAAAGAATTTGCTTAGGTAAAATTGAGTACGGAATGGACTGGAGACACTTGGCTTGTCATTAAGTTTTCACGAAAATATGTTAGATAACTTTATACAGTCCTTGAAAGAGTAAAGATTGAAAGATAATTTTAGACAAACTTTGATGGGGGAAATATTCACAAAGAGTAAAGGGCTTTTGCGCCAACATCTTGTTGAAAATTTTACACTGCAATTTCATTTAAATAAGCTAAGGAACTAATTGCCAAATTTAGACTTTCATCACATAATAGGGGCGTAACCAGACCTGCAAAAATTGTATGCACAGATTTTTAAATCTAACACAAAACATGAAGGACAGCGTAATCACAGCAAATGTACCTCATATAGTAGCTTAATTTCCGTTAATAATAAAATCATCATTTAAGTCAAAAATATTCTCGCGATTTAATAAATATTCTAATTTACCCAGAATGGTATATTTATTTAAAAGGAGGCTAGCTAAGCTGGATCAAGTCCGTGTTAAAATTCCTATGAAGCTGTGCAGGAAAAATTCTTCCTTTGTTTCTCTAGCTCCTCGATAAACCTGGTGTTCAGATTTTATCTAGTACCCCCAGGTCTGCGCGAGCTGCTCTTTGAAACTAACGCACAGGTAGATTTTTACCTGAGATAAATATCCCCAGCGAGAGTGCGTTTGATACTCGCAAGACAAAGGCTACAGGAGAATTGAATGCCATTTAACCCTCTAGTTAAGAGGTAAAGGAAGTTCCAGTTAGATGGATGATTAAGATAGGACTTGTAAAGGTAACGGGCATTGTTTACCTCAGTTTAAAAAAAGTATGCAAGACGGGGTGTCAGCGGTTTAATAAAATAAATTGAATTTCACAAATAACATGGACCTCATATGCAATAATCAACAGTACCCTTAACTCATTCAAATGCAGTGTTTTATACAACTTGGGATAACCATAATTAAATGCTTGTTAAAGAATTGACTAGACGGGAAATGGTTTTACACAGCTTCAGGAGGATTTAGACCCTTCGGGTAAGAGATTTGAATGAGTATAAACTTTTATCAGAAGCCAGAAAAGTCATCTTACAGGTAGATAATTCAGCTCAGTTTGACAGCTAAGCAAGCTCTGTTCTCTGGTGGCACGATTGTCGTCATCGGACCTCGTGACCATGTAGCTCATTAACTCCCAGGCCGAGCAAATAGGACGTTTTTTAAAGCCAGAAATTTACAAAATGAGCTTTTAATTTGTGTATTTGGATGAAGATATCGTTAGTTGGGCATGTTTTCGGAAGAATATGTTCCGTTCAGGCTATTCTGACGGTGTGTCCATTGTCCTTTAAAAGTTCAAAAATGAAGTCATCTGCTCAAGTACACACATAGAAAAATGGAGTGCCAAACTGAATGTTGTTTTTCTAATATTTACGTAAAGGATGTCGGATGCAACCACGAAACTTATAGTATCCAGAACTTTGGTGTTGTGGACTACAAGAGCTTGGTAAGACAAACTTATTTTATGCCATATCAATAAAAAAGATGATTTCCATGTTTATAATAAATTCTATCAAAATTGATTTGACACATGCCATCTGAAGGTGGAAACACATTTGACTATTTTCTGAATAGTCAACAGTCATTTATACCTTAAGGTAGNTTGGGAATGTTTTCTGAAGAATATGTTGCGTATGGCGCAAATCCTTTAAAACTCTACACCTCCAATGTTTCTGCCAAAATCTACCTAGGTCTTCTCGTTTGATGTCAACTACTGATTTCTGGTCCAAAATTTGGTATATAAGAGGCCATTGGCCTTTTGCTTCATATTCATAGGGACTAGTAATTGTCCTAAAATACATGTCAGATTCTAAAATGGGAATGTTCGGAACGTGTTGTATTTTAGCCATATAAGTGTGCAGGAAAGACAGGTGCAGGTGCCTTTTATATATAGTCACATTGCGTCTGTCCATAAAACATTTTATTCTCTTTCATTGTTGAACTGGTTGTTTACCGTTACTAGACTATTTTAATGTCACTGGTAATATCATTACAGACATAAGTGCCTGTCTATTTGACAGCTTTGCTGCCTTTTCTGATGTACACATTTTAAATCTGCCTCTAATATTTCAACAACTGAAACTGCAGCCATATAATTTCATGCTTTAAGTGTATTCACAACATTCTCAGGTCAATGTATATTAAATTTGATTACAGTTATAAAACAAATGGAAGATTACTGTCTCAGTTTCATATATTTGGTGGCTTTTATCTTGCAATTAAATAGTGATTTCTAAATATTGTAAACGAAAAAAAAAAAAAAAATTAAATCAGTACTGGTATGTACATATTTACAAGAACAATGCCAGAGTTATGTTTAGAGCTTTAGGTCCTTCTGATTTTTGACCTAGCCCTTGAGTTTTAACTTTGAAGTTGAAGGTTGTCCAGTCTCTTGTTCATATTCTATTTCTACTCTAGGCCTCTTTCGCTGCCTGGTCCTTCGTTTATCTTGCTGTTCCTCTTCATCTGAAGACTCACTGCTACTCTCATCAAATTTGCCATTCCCCTTTTCTGTGCCCTAAACAAAGATGAACAAGGCTTAGTACACTATACAAACTATAATTATCTATGTTTTATTAAAAATGGCTTTGGTTTGTATATAGAAAGGCAAAGCTTTTAAATATCTAATAAGTAAACTTAAAATCCTGTTTTCATCAAATACTTTTTTTTATAACATAAATTTAGTTTATACTACTTGGAAAAAATCTTAGGTAAAAATATTGAAATAGAAATGACATAATGCAAGCTGTTGCAAAATATACCTCCAGGTCTGATAAATCACTTTCTTCAAATTCTTCCTCTGCAACATATTCCACTTCTCCAGAGTCAGATTCCTATTGACAGAAAGAAAAATGCAATTCAGTTGAAATAGGTGTTAGTAATGGCATTTGAAAATAGTTTTTTCCTTTAATTTCATCAGTTTTACTAAGATTCTACGAAAGAATAAAAAGCTACATTTAAAAGTGGAGAACACTCATGTGGCATTGATACTGCATAATGATTTTTTTCTCAACAAATAACACTCAATAACACTGACAGCTTATACGTAAAAAATGCACAACTTCCTTGTCAAAATATTTCTGAATCATCATTTTCACCAAACAAATTTCATGCACCATTCTTACTTCATCGTCCAAATCTCCTTCCTCCTCTTCATCTAGCTCTTTCTCTCCTTCTTTTTCTTTTGTCTCCTCTGTCTCTGACTCACTTGAAATCTCCTCAACCTCCAGTGCCTTATCAAAGGCATGCTGTGGGAAGTTATATATATCACCATACTGAAAATGAGGAATTCAATAATTCAATATTTTTTTCAGCAATTTGTGAGCTTACCTTCCACTATGCAAATTGCAAATTCAAAGTTACGTATGTACTGTTTACAAATCATCAGTAACAGACCTTCCTGACCTTTAAAGATATTTCTTTGTATTTTGATTATTATACAATTGGCACAGAATTTTATGTGCAGATTTTGAGGTCTGAAAAGATATCAACAATGAAAACATCATTGAACATAATATTACAACATTATCAATTTTTTGACAAAACAGAGTAAAGGAAACAAACCATATATCAGATTAAAACAATGTCTAATGACAACTTATAGTATATTGAAGGAAACCAAATGCAGGTATTGAATTTTATGATAAAATCATAACTATAGACTTCAGCTTTTATATATATGCCACTTTGCAGGCCACAGAAGAAAGATTAAACTTGGCTCAATTTAGTTGACATCACTTTTGATGTCTGCAAAACAGCATGTTGACCTCAGCTTAAGCCCACATTTGTATAATATTTGGCAATTGTATATGCAATTCCTGTGTATGAAACAATACTCACAGTGCCCTGCTTGAGTCTCTCCAGTAACTCCTTCTCAATGGCATTATCAAGTTGTGCTGCAACCAGTGCCTTCTCCTAAAAATATAAGAACAACATTCCTGAGTTCCTGAGCATCCACAACATCATTCAAGTAAAACAAGTTAATGTGCCATTTTCCCTGTCATGTAGGTAGGCCGAGATGACTGACCATTGGTAAAGGTGATAGTGGGTGTATGCTTTGAGGCCCCTGGGTGTCTTGCCTTGCTGTAAGGTGGCTGGAATTAATCTAATTTTTCAAGCATTCAGAAAATGTAGATATGGTGCTGCACACTGATAATTTCATTGTGTGAAAAATGAAAATGTCTTAAAAATTGCATAATTTCAAGAAAAATAGTCCAATAAAACAGCTCATTATGCTTACCTCTCTTCTCTTCTCCCTTCTCTCCACTTTTCTGCTAAGTGGCACCAGTTTCTGCCTAATGAAAAGTACCAAAACAGCATTAGAATATTGTTCAATCCATTATTTATCCAGTATCATTTCAATCCATGAATATTTACATTATTTAAAAGATAAATTAAAAAATATGTACTTACTGTCTTTTCAGAGTTAATTTCCTTATTCTGATTAAATACTGTGTTACTTTTGTAAATCTCTGTTTACATTTGTGTTTTATAAATCTGAAAAAAAAAGAAAAGCTGGCAAATACACAGACATTGAGCACAAAAAGCCATCCCCGATTTCTCCATTTTTACACCAACAAGTACATTCTGTGTGTGTGTGTGTGCATGTTTTTGAATTTAAGTTTTATAACAGAAGGTTAAGGGTAAACAACAGTCAGTATGGCTTGGTTTTCTACAGATAGTTTGTTTTCAGCTTCCTGTCCTCTATTTCACATAACAGTGTAAAATTATTTAATTAGCTTGAGAATAGTTCTTTGTTCTCTGTAGACCAGCTGATATTTCTGGGTTGGAGACAATAAGTCATCGTCAACTCAAATGATGTAATTCCAGTAATGGATTTATAGATAAAGAAATATGCATTACTATAATCAAATGAACCCCAGATGGAAAACTAAGTTAACAATCTCTTTCTTAAATGCAATAATGTTCAATAACAATTTGTTTTCTCAATAATATGCATCATTCTAAAAGTTACATTTTGTTCAAAATATCTATTAAATGAAAGTATGCATGTGTCTATTTCAAACATACCTAGGCCAATATATCAGATTTTCATCAATCTGCTTTAGTGCTTTTTCATAATTCCTCGATAGCTTAACCTTTTCCCAAAGTCTGGCAGGGAATGCTGCTCTTTCAATAGTTTTCATGTATAAGTAACATATACCTGAAAAAAATGCATGTATACATACAGCTAAACACTAATTTAATTTCCTTTGTTATGTAGAATCAAGTTTACACCACATTCTAATCCCCGCTTGATGAACAGAAGAGGGAGGAGAAACCAGTGAATGATACTGAAGAATAATAATTAATCACAACAGGACACAATGATGTGTCCAAGATTTAGAAAATACTAAATTCGGTATTTTGATAATAATAAGCCCTGTCAGTAACCTAACTGTTAATTGGATGTCCAAGTTACAGCTGACTTTTTAATTAAAAATTGTGTTTAAAATGGTTCACTTTGTGTCATTAATTAAAGTTTAATATCTGAAGCATACACAATACAAAACATCATGCAATTTTCAAGTGTATATGGAGTAAACTGAGTGGCCAATTCTTGGCTTTTAAAATCTGCAGTTGAGCCATATGAGTGTCTAGTAAAATTAATGTTGTGCAAGTATAAAACTCACCTTTTTCTTCCCTTATAGTTGCATACTGGCTGTTGGCTAGTGGACATGATGATCTATTGCACAGACCCGTTAAATTAAACTCATTACGACAGAATTTCTGTGACTTTGTTCTGAAATCAGAAAAAAACTAGGCTGATTAATTTTGCCTGTTAATTAATGAAATCACTCAAGAAAAGAATCACGGTGATATAATAATAATAATAATAATAATAATAATAATAATAATACATGTACAATGTTGTTACACATAGAAACCAATGTCATACATATTATCAGTTCTATAAATTATTTTGGTATATTTGCATATACCACTGTGTGTGCTGCATGTGTGTTAATATACACTTAACTTACAGATTACCAGCTAATATGCAAAAAATTTAATTCAAGATACATAGAACATAACATACTTGACTTTGTATGAGCAAAATGATCCGTTAATGATGCTCCATATAACCTGAATGAAAATAGAAAATACACATCACTTTTACATTAGATTTGCCACAAAAAGTTTAAATGCCACTTAAATGTTTAAAACATATACAAATTACATCGCTGATATAAAAAGTGCCTTCATTTAGCGATCTACCAACAATATTGTGTACAACTTACAGGTCATATATCAACATATGGTCCCTGGTTTTACATTATTTTTCAATCAACATGCCATTAAATGTCATGAAAGGTACCTACATCATCATGCTGCATATCGACTTCTGATTTTATTCAATATCGCGATGGAATTGATCCTTGTTTTCACCAAGTTCCTAAGGTTTTACGACCATGTGTTGCGGAAGTGAACATAGTATTGCTGCGCAAGTGCGTTAACCCTTGACCTCGGCACAACTGAGACTCCCAAACAAATCGATATCACCTGGCATGTCTCAAAGTTTAGAATTTACAAGGATAAACTACGTTAAATACGACGGCTAAATGGAATTCAAACACCATCATGGAGGTATATGTCTATATATTTACATATTAACATTCAATGTGTCATCATGAGTTGTAGCAAGGTTATCCATTATTCTCTTTTATAAATCTGGCTACATAGTTCTACATTAAGGTACAGTACTAGCTTGCAGCACGAAATTCATGCTCTGTTTTTACACATGAAATCAAAGGCTTCAATAAGTGTTAAATGAAGACCAGTATGTGAATCCATCGGGGTGCGGAAGCTCTCAATTTTTATCTTACCTCTCATCTCTTCAACCCGCCCACTCATGAAAAGCCAGCCAGCTTTCCAATCATCAGAGCTTTGATTAGGGTAATTAATATCCATCTGCTTGTCTACCAGTTACAGGTAGGTTGCTGGGTAAGAATTTACCATGAAAAACTCATACTTAACTAATTTCCTGTGCTAAACTGTATATTTCTCTAGCTGATCCTCCTTTTTTGACACTCAGCACAATCTGTACCAGGGGAAAATTATAAATTTTAGGAGTTATCAAGTTTGATTTTAAAAAACTTGATCTGTACGCTAAAGATATGTTTAAATTGATTATCTCCCTATAAACTCTATAGAAAGTAGAAAAAAATGTGTTTCTAAACAACCCACCACAATATGCGAAAATGAAGTGACAGATGTACATGTAGGTGTCATGTGGCACTGTGCATGATATGCAAGTGTGCTGATGGAGCATAGAGCATCTGAGCTATAAGAAACATATGGAAGTTTGGAAATCTGTGCTAACGAAGTAAAGACACAGACATTGTTATGTCTCAGTGTATGGCATTTGGGTGCACTAAATCAGGTGTCAAAGGATCTTTAGATGCGGCACCCACAAACCTGGACACAGTTTCAGTTTTTCAGTAATGCACAATCACATCCCTGTTTATAGCATTTATCTGATAAAATTGATAGAAAAGAATTACTTGGCTTCTGATATGTTCAACAAGAAGTGGTCAGTAATTTAGAACTAAATGATAAATTGAAAAAAAAAAAAAAAGAATAAAATATTAAATCCAAGAGCAGGGATGGGATGAACATTAATCCCTGACTTGAGAAAATTTTCACAAGAAAATTTATTTTTTGCAGTGAAATCAATATTATCCTGTATAGAGTACCTTTTGTCAATCTCAAATATGACTGTTCAATTTTTAATGAGTGGTATAATGGATTGCAATTGGGAATGTAAATTAGTTAAATCTATATTTGTTGTAAAAGACAGGCCAACTAATTATGCTTTGACTGCTTTAAAGATCACAGTTAGGTCTGCTTTATATCATAATTTTTAATATTAAGATAAAAAAACTTTGTACATTAATTTTTGTAGACATCTCTTTCATTTTAGATATAGAAAAGGGAGAAAAAGTTACCCTTTTTAAACTTGGAATTTTGAGAGCTGTAATGTGTGGTCCTTTTATTTTATTATTATTATTTTATTTATTTATTTATTTTTATTTTTTTGCCACAAGAAAAAATAGTGAAGGGTCTAGAAAATAAACCTGTAAGTAAACAGCAAGAGATTCAGATGAAAGTTGCCCAAATTGTTTTGTATGTAAACCTGTACTTTGCAATGCTTGTGACAATTGTTTTTACATTCGTGCCATGAAATTGTTGATAATAAGACATTTACAATCATATAATGAGTGCTCCAGATCACACATGACAATTATTGTTTATGAAGCCTGCAGAACATATTTTTGTTTTACTTCATATTTACTGAGTGGCTAAGTATGTCAAAAAGCATTTTCCTTTAAAAAATATAATGATGGAATTATTTTTACAAAAGTTCATTATGTTTGATTTAATTATTTTTTTTTTTTTGCATGTATTTTGGCAGTGCTCACCCATGGAATGCCAAACTATTTTGCTGTACCAAATATGTGTTGTGTGATTTTGCTTGGTAAAAAGGTTGCTTCCTTGGGGCCGTTTTCACAAAAGATATTTACTGTAATGTTCTTCTTAAAGATGCATATAAAGTCAATTTTTTGCCACAAAAGCCAACCAAATGTCAGCATATAGTTTCAAGTAGTATAACTAAGAGAATTACCAAAAGGCATTGTATAAATTTACCTGAAAATAATGTTTGAACGAATTTTTCTGCTAGCATTCTATGCTGTATGTCAATGGGGCAGAAAAGTACGTAGGTCACGAAAGTAGGTTAAATTTTTGACCCAAAATTAAAGAAAAGAGCAGTCTAAAGCTCTTTTATGGCTGATCGAGTGATTTATTCAGTTTATCCCTTCACATGTCGAATTTATTTGAGTATAAGAAACTAGTAGAAGTGGTTTATGTGTTTTAATTGGAATCCAAGCTCCACTGATGCTCTGTTCATATGTACCTTTAAAATGTTTGGATGTACACTGTATGTAAGAGTCAAGCAGTGATAGACATCAGGTACTGTAGTAATGTTATCGGTTTGTATTCCCAGGATACCCATCTCATCAGCCAGGGGGGCATGTACACTTTCCGCAAGAACAAGTTGTCCAACATGACTCTGAGATTGTCATTTGTCCTGAGGGAGACAGGACTCTTGGTGTTCATTTAGGTTTTTTACAACACAGACATCACTATGAGGTGGCCTTCACTATACAGGATGATCTGGGAGAGGATGTAGACATAGAACCTTCCCTACATGCTAGAATACTGGAAGTTATGCCTTCAGAAACAGGTAGATATTTCCTTTTAATAAATCTAATCTAAATCCTTTTTTTTAATTATTTAATTAAATAATAATAATTTAATTTGCGACCATAAGTTGGATGGTACATTTGTAATATGTTTTACTAAAAATGGTAATTTTAAGGAAAATATGAGAAATGAAAACATTTACTAAAATACATTTTGAAATACATTTTCAAGGACTGCATTTGAATTAATTTTTTGGATGTAAGTGATAAAATAAAAAAATTACCAATAAGTTGATAATGCCCAGATAATAAAAGTCCCTTGAGTCTCTCATTGTCCTCAGTTTTGGCATTTCAAATGTCTGGGCACTTTGTAACTTATAAAACTGTCCACCTGTTGGTCCAACTGTTGGTAAAAGGTGGTCAATTTTGTGGTAATTAATGTAAATATTGCACATTTTTGTTACATTCTTTTACACACCTGACACTGTAGTAATAGGTACAGTAATTGGTAGTTTTGAGTGCTTCAGTTTTCAGGATTCAATATTTAAAAAACCCTTTTTTTTTAATGGATTCTATTTTATCATATTATAGACTGTTAGTGAGGCCAAGGTGTAAGACCTAAAAAGACTGCAGATCTTCCCCTTTAAATTCCTTTGTCATGTTTAAAGAAAAGAAAGGAAATTGTATTTGACTTCATCATAGTCAGGCCATCAAAAGTGTACTTAACAATGAAGAAAAATGTTTGGTAAATGCATTTAAATATTTGAAAATGAAATATGGCATTCCATCATACTATTATCATACTATAATTGACAAAGCTTTATTCTTATAATCTTCCAGAATTTCCTGGCCACACAGTGGCAGTGGATCTTGCTGCACACAAAGAAAAACTTATGCAAGAAAAGATCACTCTCAGGAGCAGAAATGACAAAAATAAGGCCATCACCTTAGTGCTGCATGCTAGAGTATTAGGTAAGCTGATGCTATATTATAATATCTCACTCTTGTGAATCTTTAATTGTAAAAACAAGCATTGGCAGCAACAAATATACACTCTTGGTTTTCCCACCTACAATTCCATTAGTTTTTGTTTACTAATGATCACCTCATATCTGTAAACCATTTTGAACAGTGTTAAATCTAACACACTGTATTTAACCTGAGTCATGGTACAGAAAATACAAAATACCGGTGAAGAAATCCATATTGTATACCATAAATTCCAATTTAGAGGATGCAAATCTCAGAAATCTGATGTTCCACAGTGATTTCCACATAGGTAAAAATGTCCATAAAAATTGAAATGGCACCAAATGTCATCAAATTTACACACAATTAGCATGAGCACATGCTTCCTCAAGGCCATGTTTCTAATAGCCGTATGTGTGTTTACTGCATATTGCAATTATCTTCTGTAGGCGGGGTGTCATGCATTTAACAAGGGCAAGAATTCTGTTTTGTGAAAAATTGCCTCTTAATAATTTTAATTAGTGTGTTTGTGCAGGTGTGTGTGTGTGTGTATGTATGTGTGTGTGTGTGTGCAGGTGTGAGTGTGTGTGAATGTGTGTGTGTGCCAATTATGAAGGTCCACGTGGTCTGGTGGCAAGCACAGATTTCAGAATAATTGTGATAATCACTATGTTGGTGGTAAAATGGTATTTATTATATTTCTTTGTGTTGTCTACAATGTATTTATGGGGAATTTTGAATTTCGTACGAAGAGTTTTTATCCCTTGAAGCATTTTTAAAACTGCATCAAATTGACAAAAAACTTATTTTGTGCATGATTATTTTGTGCTTTATGCTGCCTTTTTTCTAGTGGTATTGTTCATGTTGGCAATTATCAACTTTGCCACTAAACTGGACCAAATGCTACTCTTTTATTTCTGCAGCAGCCAAATGCTATGTAATGACCCATATACATGTAGTAGTACCAGTCTATATCAATTCTGGTTGTCTTTTCAGGGCGAGGCAAGGGCACCCCAGCATTAAGGAACGGCATAAAATGCACAGGCATCGATGCAGATGAGGAATCAGAAGCAAGTGACTGGATGGGCTTTGATTGACACATTAACCTCAGTTTACCACAGTAAACTTTTTTATATGTTTGATAACGATGATTGCGTTATAAGTAGAGCATCTTTTCATCCAACTCTGTGTTGTATTTCTTTGAAGAGGAAACCTCTCTATAAAGGTGGTTTTGACATATTCTGTACAGTTTTAAATACTTAAAAGTAGTCTATGTAAGTGAAGTTACTCAGTTAAAAATAAGGTGTTTGTCTAGATTATATGTTTCACTAAAGCATTAATCATACATCAAACAATTTTCAGCACAAGACACCAATATTCTGCACTTTCATACTGATAGATTGTCTTTCAGCACATAAATACAAGTTTCTGGTCTCCACAACTGATAAGCATCTGCAAGTTTTCGTCTATTAATAGTTCTTCACCTGGTTTGTCACTTGGTAATGTATGGATGGATGTTGTGGTCCATGATTAACCCGATCATGGAAAAGAGACATAAATTTGCAAATGTAAGGTTGTTCCTAATTTATCAGTGAGCCAGACCCAGTAACTGTTAAGTTGTGCCAATACATAAAAATATATAAAATACATAAAAATAATCTTGGTATGGCTATATGGCATGGCTATGCTGAATAACAGTAGGTTCTGCTGAAAATTATTAGAGGTATTGGGTATTTGTAATTCTCATTTACATGGTATGTATATATCCAGACCTATTATTTCTTTTTTATATACAGACACCGTATACATCTGTATATATCCTGATTACTGTCTATGGCATAATTTTACTTTAAATTTCTGAGCAGCTTTGTTTGGTTGTAGAAGAAAGGTCCCTTGCAAAAATTAGCATGATAGGAATATTTGTGCAAAAGTTTTATTGCACATTTTTTATTTGTTATCAATACTTTTTAAATATTGTTGCAGTGTATTTTTCTTTGTTGTTAGGTCTCTGTATTTATGACAGCTTTGCTGTTTGTTCTATGTACACAGTTAAATGGATAAGAATTTTTCATAATTTTCAGCCTGCATTTAACAATACAAGTTGAAACCCAATTTGATGTACATTTCAGTGTGTGTACAAATTTTGTGTAATTTTTATGGTCCAAGACATTCATCTGTATTTTTTTTTTTATTAATCTGCATTTTTGAAGATTGTGGCATACCACATAAACAATGGAAGTGTCACCAAAACCCACTGTATCTGAGTATATTTATAAGAGTAGGCTTTCAATGCTTTCTTCAAAATTTTAAAGGTTATTGATGGCACTGTAAAATCATGCATTTGCTTGCAGCTTTATCAATGCTTTGTTAAATGTTATTTATTTTGCTAAAACAAAAATATGCTAGCTTGCCACCAACTAGATTATCTCTTGTATTTTTTTTTTAATTCCACTTGGAATTCGCTGTGTATTGTTATTCACTTCTACCATATATGATATTTATCTCTGGATGCTCACTCCGTGACCATTCAGTATTGGAAGTTTTTCAAGTCAAGCTTGCACAGAAATTTAAATGCAAGTGTCTGAATTTAAGTAAAATAACCAAGTAACCAATGATAGTTATTTGTCACAATAATGAGGAATAATTGTGGATGAATGGTAATCGTGATATTTGATTGAAACAGTTTGTCATGTACCACATTTCTTTGCTATATAAAAAACTTATCCCGACAGCCACATTATCCATGTCCAGTGATAGTCGGTGATGTTTTGAATACCACAAACAAAGAGTTATCTAAGTTTAGATAAAGCTGCTGTATTAAATAGTACATTTGACCTTTCATATGATAACTATTAAGGTTAAACCTGCTTGTGTAAAACTAGTAGTGAAGATAGCACATACTGTATGCAGACTTTAAAGAAAGGAATGAAATAAATTACATGTAAGGCAAGTTGGATGGTTAAAGAATTTTAAACATTCGAATTAACAGTCGACTTTCACCTCAGCATCAGTTAAATTTCAACTCGAAACAGAAATATGCATGATAAAATGACATGCTTCGAAATACCTCGACTGACAAATAACATTTAAAAACCTAATCAAATTACTATATTCAACCCAATAAATTTTAACTAAAATAATGTAAGTTTTATGATTTTTTTGCTGCATATTTTTAAATTAATGAAAATATTGAAATTGGTTGGAGTTAAAATGGCACTTTAAAAGTCCCTTTTATAAATTATCTGGTGCTTTTCAGATAATCTTAGAATATGTGTAGAATCTAGTGCATGTTCCCTCTTCCCAATATTATCTCCCAGTTTTCTGACCAACCAGCAGAAAATTGTTTGTATATAGTCTTCTTACTTGTGTCTGTTCATGATGTCACTATCACAGAATCAGTTTTGTGCCACCAGTGCGAGGTACAATGGCTTTGAAGTCCAGCCCAGACCTGACTTGCCCAATGCAAACAAGTCTCCATTATTGCTGTATCTCAAATAAGCACAGACCTGTCTTCATGTTATTGAATTTGGTCACATACAGTTTCAACTTTAATTTGCTAGACTTTGGGCTCAAATTTGCCAAGTGGTTTTGTTTAGCTAAAAAAAACATGATCACATTAACATATTGTTGCAGGGTTTTTTGTAGTGGTAGAGTGTGTGTGTGTGNCCCTAAATTGAATGTTTTTATTGGATTTAACCAAGGAATAAGATGTCCTCGGTTGTATGGTGTTGTGCTGATGTCCTCGGTTGGTACACATAGACAAGTATGTGTGTGTGTGTGTGTGTGTGCATTATGTCTACTCAAGTTTTATGGATAGACAGTGTTCGTTGTAATTTGATGACTAAAATATAGTTTTACTCCTATGGAGCTAACTCAAATAGTTACATTACGGCAGTAAATAACTCTGGTATAAATACATGCGGATTTTCTAACTCAGCCTGCCTTTTTGTCAAAACACTCAACTTGTAAAGTAAAAGTAAATCACATATAAGGTTTTACCCGTTATTGGGTGAACAAGTGTGTTGAATGATGTCAGCTCAGACAAACAGGTATTTGGAATATGTGCAGGCATTTACAATATTAATGTCTGGACGTAAAACGTGATATTATTCAAGGTTGCCGACATATGGCACAAAACATTTGTATCCAGCTTTTAAATATATAGAAAATTTTATTTGCTCTTTTTTTCCATAGTAATTTTACATAAGCACCAAGTGAATATTTATATGAACAAGTATCAACTGACATATTACTATTGCACTTAATACCTGAAGGCTGAATATTCCCAAGTTGCATTCGACTCGTAACTGTAAATCTGCATTATAAATGTATTTCACCAGTGTTCAACTATTTCAAATATGGGACACAACTTCTTGGATACACATTCATCTCTGGAAAATGTAACAAACAAGGACAGAAAAGAACATGTTTCTTCTTGAAATACAGTTAATCTGAAACAATTTCTTCTTATCACATTCAGCTGTGCATCTTATCAATGAGACATTTTGATCAATTATGTCCTTATCCACCCTCCCTGATAATCATACTAACAACATGTCAATTGACAATTGAAGATTTACTTGATGCTACTGTTACTCATTTTGTGCCTGTCAGGCAAAAAAGATCTAGCTTCATTACAACTATAACAAATGTAAGAAAAATTTAATAACTATATCACATTCATTTTAAATGTCTTATAGAGACAAGTACGCTATAATTATCAATACCAGAGATATTCCACACAACAGCAATGCTGTGCTGCCTAATAAGAATCACCTCTAATGCTTATCATTTGTCTACCATCTATCAGTTTCATTTGTCTATGGAATTCTTCATTCCATTAATTGTAAAAAAAAAACCTTTAAGAATGATAAACTGTGAACAAGTTTGTTGCTACCCAGCGAGGACAGTCCTGTGTTACACACAAATGTCACTGGTAGGAGACTGCGCCTGTTTCCCTTTGTGCTTTGATTTGTCGGATTTACTGTGGTCTACACTACTTTTCCTCTCTCGTTGAATTCCAGGACCTGGGCAAATGTTAGATTGTTTGTTAGAATTTTTAGTGTTTAATGATAAGAATACATTTGGGTAGAACACAATCTGTCTGTACATAAAAATTAATAAAACAGATAGACGAAAGAGTTAAAGAATGGCTTGAGAATGCCAATATAATCCTTTGACTTTTGATTCTTGAGTGTACATTACCTAGATGAAAACGGACATACGCATATATATATAATAAAACAGACTGCCAATGCCTCAAGACATCGAACTTTTGATTTTGCTACAATTAAAATCAGTGAATCTATTTATTTAACCATAAAACAACTCTCTCTTACCTAATGAAACTAGAGCACTGCCTATAGCTAACCCATTCTGGCCTTGAGGTGTGAAATCTTCATCACCAGTGGGCAATTGGATGACTATGGACAGCACCGCAGCTTTATGGCCACGTAATGGCTCTATAGCTACTGGGCTGGATTTGCAAGGCTGAAAGACCAAATGTTCAGCATATGCATACAAGACATAATACTAACTCATATTTACCCAGTTAAAGGTGCTGCTGTCCACAGGCTTTGAAGTTTGTGTCCTCATCATCAACCATGCAATTTATGTCATATACATTAATTAATTTAGTTTATCCATTGTTGCGTCAACTTAATTTGAGTGGTATAAGAAACAAGTAGACGTGGTTTATATGCATTACTGGGAATCAACACTTCACTGACACCCCCTTCCATATGTACCTTTAAAAGGAGGCCATTTAAATCCACTAAATATTTAACTTCATATTATTTACTCAATCATTAGAACCAACCATATAAAATCCTTTGTTAATCTTACATTACTACCCCGGAACAATTAAGGTTCTACCTTTAAATTATTTTTCATCCTTTTCCGAAGATCTACAGGAGGTTGTGGTAATGGTTTTTCCTTGAGCTGTAAATGTTCCTCATCATTTCCACCTTGTAAGTCCAGGCTAACTATACTGAATGGACGGCTGGCCATCTGCTGCATCTGGACAAACATCCGCTGAAAAATACATGTGAAAATTAAGGCCACTTCAGGAAAAAATTATTTGTCCAATTTCAAACAAATATAAGAACTCATAAATCTCGGAATTGCTACTTCATACTTGAAAATGTCATCAATGAATTTAATGACTATCTAATTTAATCAGTGAGAAGACAGCAATTGGCAATCTCCTCCGATTCTTGATTTGAAATTTTGAAAGTTTAAGACAAAGGGTTATGAGGTTATCTCAGACTGTAACATATGCTGTAACTACAAGGCAAAGTACACTCACCTGTCTTGATAAGTAGAGAACATACCGGATCTTGATTTTCCATATAATTATGGCAATCAAAAGGAGGGATATAAAACAACTGAAATAAAAAAAACCTAATGTGTAAATCAATTGCAATGACTACTTTAATACTGTTTTAAACTTTCACAAAAATCTTTCACATCTTTGGTAATACTCAAAAACTGCTCTACATTTCATTTTTTTGTACATAAAATGTTAAAATTCATATAAGACTTCAAAATTTTTGAAAGCCATCATGCAAGGAAAAATGAGAGCAGGTTACCAAACAACTTCCAACATCAAAAATGGCACATATACACACATTATAAAAATGTTTTTCTAGATTTCAACAACAAGATAGAGAATGGCACATAACAGACATTAACCAAATAAATTTAAAGAAACAGATTCAATATCTGGACAAGACACAGATTTTTTTATTGTATCGGGAACTGACAAACCTTACATCAGGGCTATGCATAGGCCCTTTGGAAAGGGCTGTTCCTTGGGGTGGGGCTCTCGCAGGAGGGTAGATAATACAAAATGTTCACAATTTATACTTTTAGGATTGATAGATCTATCATCAGGGACATGTATTTGTATTTGTGAGCCTTGAGGCAGGCCAACCCTTGGGCAAGGATGGTTCTTTTTTTTTCCACATCAAGAATTTTTTCATCAGTCTTTTAAACAGCCATGCATGAAATTGCGTTTCTGATGTTGTTATCATGTGTTGATTTTGATGGTAGTGGCATAGATGCCTAATACATGGGGTTCCCTAGGGGTGAGCTACTCTTGACAACATGACAAAGTACAGGATGTGTCATGGCTTCATTTGGTACAGTCTGTACGTAGCCTCTAATAAAATCCAGTTTGAAGTTCTATGCTGCACAAACTTATGCACAGATCCCTTTAAATGCAACCGTTTGTGAGCGATGAAGAGAAACACAACAAAATTCACCATATACTTACCTAAAAAATACAACAAAAAAGTTAACCAGATTTATATTAACCTGTTGTGAAAAGTAGATCTGGAATAGATGAGGTCAAAGTCAGAGTAAAGAGGAAACTTCAAGAGGACATACCCTGTGTAAGGTCAGGCCATGGTTAGTTTGTGACATTGAATTTTTCACCCAAGTCAACAGCCATGCTATAAACACTACTTTCTTTTTAATCTCACATATTGTTATTCATTCTTAAACTGTTGTGGCATGGAAATAATTTTTTTTTCAATTTGCACGAACTAGGATGCTGGATTTGGTTGAAATTAGCAACTCTTAAAATAATTTGGCACCCAATTTGAAATTGGTGAAAATCACTTTCAAACATATTTATTTAATGGCTGTCACAGACTTCTGAGGTGACGGTACATTTTGGTGCTTTTGGGGGGGGGGGGG